TGAAATTAGATTTTTTTTTTTTTGGAAACCATTACTTTTCCTTTCGTGACTGTGAGCCCACAGGGAGCTAGCTGGCTTCCTCTCGGTGCGTTCCCCAGACTGGACCAGACCCCTGACCACATGTAACCTATTAGTCCAGTCTCGGTCTGCTGGTTGTCACCACTGTGTCTGCGTTCTTTGACCGTTATCAAAGGAACTGGGAACTGTTCTCTCCGGGACCTGGCATCAGCCAGAGCTCGGCAGTGTGGGCGGTCTTTTTCCTGATCATGCAAAGAGAAAAGGGCCAAAAGAAGAGGGCATCTGAGAGTAATGGTGCACGTCTGTTAATTCCTGCATCCAGAAGGTTGGAAGGAGGCCGCCGAGGCCAGCCCGGGATACACAGGAGATGTTGTTTGGACAGGAAGGGAGAAAGAAAAAATGAGGGAGGGAAGGAAGGAGGGAGCGAGACAGAGACAGAGTCAGAGGAGCTAGACACTGATTAATCCCAGAAGGCAGTAGATCAGGAGTTCAAGGTCATCCTCATCTGGGTAGCAAGTTCAGGGCTACCCTGGGCCACTTGAAAGAAAGGAGATAGGAGACAGGGAGGAAGGAATGAAAGGAGGAGGGAAGGAAGGGGGAAGGAAGGAGTGAGGGAAGGAAAGAAGAAAGAAAGGAAGCAGGGAGGGAAGGACATAAGGAAGGAAGCAGAGAAGGAAGGAAGGAAGGAAGGAAGGGAGGAAGGAAGGGAGGGAGGGAGGGACGGAGGGAGGGAGGGAGGGAGGAAGGAAGGAAGGAAGGAAGAAAGAGAAAATTTTGGTTTAGGCAGGCCTTGGCTGTTGTGCCCTTAGTTCTGGAAGAGGCTTCTTTCTGCTTTCACAGATGTCCTTGGGCAAGAGAGTGATGAACATATTAAAAAAAAAAAATCCCAACCTCGATGGAATGCGAACATTCTTGATTTCTTCAACTATTTCCTCCATGGTTCAGAGACTGATAAATGGGTTTCAACATGTTTGCAGAGTGTCTTCCACATCTTACGATCTGTCCCTCCAGCAATTAACTGGTGTTTTCTCCCCTTTTTACATGGCCACACCCTGTAGGAGATTATAGAGACAGATTACCATCTCTATGAGGCTGAAAAGCCAGTAAGGCACTAACCAGCAAACTATAAATAGGAGAGAGATCAAAATTATAATGTGAAGAGTGGGTACTTAGCATCTGCCCTGGGCTCCCTTGAACCAGAGTAGGATGGGGGCAACTGGGTTGGGTAAATATTTATATAGTTGCTTCCTTGATGACTTTCCCCCATCTAGTCCATTGATTGATGGACCAGGAAGACAAACTGCATCTTCTTCATCTTTGTGTTCCAAGTACCTAGTCTGGAATTTAAGGGTGCCTAAGGGCCTGTAAGGTAGTTAGATGGGTAACGATGCCTACTGTCAAAGTTCTATCCCCTGGACAAGGCCTTGAGTCTGATTCCTCAGGACCCACATGGTGGAAAGAGAGAATCAACTCTTGAAAGTTGTCCCCTGCCTCCCGAACACGAGTCACGTGAGTGCCCCCACACAGATGCACTGAGGAAATGTAAAAAACTAAAGTGGTACTTATATCCATTTTCTGGCCCAGTAATTGAACAATATAATAATTGTGTCTAATACAATAGTCTTTTTTTTTTTTTTAAAAGATTTATTTATTTTATTTATGAGTACACTGTAGCTGTCTTCAGACACACCAGAAGAGGGCGTTGAATCTCATTATGGGTGGTTGTGAGCCACCATGTGGTTGCTGGGATTTGAACTCAGGACCTCTGGAATCGCAGTCAATGTTCTTAACCGCTGAGCCATCTCTCCAGCCCCCTAATACAATAGTCTTAAAGCATATCTTATTTTTTTTTTTTAAGAGGAGTCCTTTTACTTAAAATTTTACTTAGAAAAATCTCAGTACCCCAGCTGGCTCCGTATTGAAGTCACCTGCTACCAAGTGTGACAGCCCGAGTTGAATTCCCAGAACTCAAGGTGTAAGGGGAGAGGTGGTTCCCGTAACTGTCCCCTGACCTTCATACCAGAGCCTTGGCATGCATGCACTGCCCCTACAAATAAAAAAATATAATAAAAAATTAACAACTGAGAAAACTACTCAAAACCAGCTATTACCGAGTGTCTTAGTGGCTAATGAGAGCATTAAATGTTCCAATATGAAGGCACAATAGATATCTTTGTCAGATTCATGAAATACCAGAAAACATTACTTTTGAAAAATCCAATTTTTCTTGAAATTAGTACTTGTGAAATTTGAAGTTCTTCTGATGTCTTTAATAAACAGCAGAAATGACACCCACAGCCTTTATTATTCTCCCAGTGTTCTTTTGTTTTTATTTGTTTGGTTTTTGAGACAGGGTTTCTCTGTGTGCCCTTGACTGTCCTGAACTCACTCTTTAGGTCAGGCTGGCCTCAAACTCAGAGACCCAACTGTCTCTGTCTCCCGATTGCTGGAATTAAAGGCGTGCCCCACCACCACCTGGCACACTGAGCCATCTTTTCTCCCAACATTCTTTCAGGCTTTGTCAAAATGGGGGCTCAGGCTAACCCATGGGGATAATAATACACATCGCTTACAAATAACTCATGTATCCATTATGCTAATGGGATTGGACGATCAGAAGCAGTTTTTTAGATTTGGACTCTGAGAGATGTACCTGTAGACCACAATCGAAGAAATAGAAGCATTAGGAATTAATATTAATATATCATATTATATATTATATTATAATTATATTAAACATATATTTAATTATTACTATGTGTGCATGTATATATGTGTGGGTGTGGAGAGGTCAGAGGACCATTCTCTCCTTTTACCATATGGGTTTGGGGATTGAATTTATGTGGTCAGGCTTGGCGGCAAGCACCCCTGTCCTCTGAGCCATCTCACCAGCCCAGGGATTAATATTGAAAAGCATTTATAATTGATGAATCTGCGTTGAAAGCTCCACCCTAGGACATTATCATCTTCAAAGAGTGCTATCGGTTTTTTTTTCCTCAGAAGCTGTTATCTTGAGATAACAAAATAGACAAGATCAGGAAGCCACAGTTTTGTTCATCAGGACTTGAACCTACATCTCTTGCCTCTCACATCACTTCTCTATGAATTTATCATAAGTGGCTAAACATCTCATCAACTCACAGAAGCATATCTTACAGTCTAGGAAGCAGCAGAATATCCGGGGTTATAATTCTTGAGGTTATCAGGAAATTGGACTCTTTGAAATCATCCTTTAACCTTGAGCAAAAAGGTGAAGGCTGTCTGCTTTGATAGATGGACGACTGAGGAAATATCCTTTGATTCAATGGACAATTTGTAAATATAAATCAGTTGCTGGAAAATTTTATTACAGATGAACCATCTCCTCCCTTATAATGTTTGCTTTTCTTTAATGCAATTTAATTCGAGCAGAAAGGCTTGGGAGAGCACACATGCAACACTAAGGAGAGGTTACTGGAAGCGAGACATACGGAATGAGAAAAGCAAGCCGTAGATTTGGAACAGGGGCGAACCGAGGCCGTCTGCCCAGCCCTGGGCTGTGCCCACGGGAAATTGAATTCAGAGCTCCTACTGCATCATAAATCCAGGGCAGCTGGCAGCAATCCAGGGGAGACTAAAGCTCAACTCCAGGGCATCTGACCAGACGGCCAACCCCTGTAACAATGCTCTTTGAGAGCTAGGCCCCAGCTGTGCTGGACGGGGATTAGGGCTCAACGTCATGACTACATTCATTTATAAACCTAATACTTTGTTAATTTTAAAATGCATCCAATCCTCAGGAAAAATGGACTCCATTATTATTATAGACCCAAAGGATAAAAGGCTGGAATTACCCTAACATCCGAGGGTGAAGAAGGGAGGAGGTGCAGATGGGGAGAGGCTTCTCAGTGGGCTTGTTTTCAGATTATTATTATTATTATTATTATTATTAATTTCTGACAGGGACTCACTAGGTTCCTCTGGCTAACCTGGAACTCACTATGCAGACCAAGACCCACTAAGAATTCATAGAGATTTGCTTGCTGTGATCAAAGGTATTCACCACCACACCCAACTTTTATTATTTTTAAAATTATTTTTAAAAATAAACACTGTTTAAAAAGATTTATTTAGCTGGGCATGGTGGCTCATCCTTCTAATTCCAGCATTCAGGAGTCAGAGGCAGGAAGATCTCTGAGTTCAAGGTCAGCCTGGTCTACAGAGAGAGAGTTCCATGACATCAAGGGCTGTGTAGAAAAACCCTGTCTCAAAACTGTTTTTTATTTTATTTTGTGTGTATCGGTGTTTTGCCCGCATGTATATGTGCACCACAAGCATGCCTGGTGTCTACGGTGGCAAGAAGAGTGTGCCAGATAACCCTCTTATGAGTGCAGATGCCATTGGAGGCCAGAAGTATTGTATCCTTTTTGGAGCCGGAGTTACAAGGGTTCTGTGGGTGCTGGGAACCAAACTCTGGTCCTCTTCAAGAGCAGCGAGTGCTCTTAACAACAGAACTATCTCCCCACATAATCATTACCGTGTATATGTCATGTGTGGATGCCTAAGCATGCCGCGGTCACATTAAAACTTTATAGTCAGTTCTTTCCTTCTGCCTTTACCAGTTGAGCCAATCATCAGCCTTCCCTTCCAGATCTTTTCCCACTCCCCTACTCCATGCACTTGCGGGTCGCAACCCTTAGCCATCTGGTTCTGTAGAGCGGGGAGTCCTCGTGGTCCCGAGAGACGTGGCTTCTTCTCCAGGAGGTTCTAGAGGGGCAGATACGAGGTTCGAGGGAGAGTGCTGCGCTGCAGGATCCAAGTCTCTGGACTAAGAAGCTACTGCAGCTACTACTGCAAGGCCGGGCGGAGTCTGGAGGGCGGGACCGCTCGGCGTCGAGGCTCCGCCCACACCGACAGAGGAGGCGTGGCTTGTGTCACGTGACGGCGCCGGAGCAGTGAGGCTCCGCCCGGCCCTCCGTGGAGGCCCGGCCGCGACCCGGGCCGCGCACGCTGAGGAGCTCTCCGGTTCTCCCCGCGACCACTTCTCCTAGTCCCCGCTTTCAGCCCAGTCACTCCCGCCGGCTCTGGGCTCGCCGGCTGGCGGGGAGTGGCCTCAAGATGGACGAAGGCGGTGGCGGTGAGGGCGGCAGCGGTGAGTGATGGAGGTGTGGCCGGCTCTCTGGGCGGCCCTGAGGCCGGGGGTCGCTCTGTTGAGAGCCCAGGCTTGAGACGTGGGGCTGGGGGTCGGGTAGGGTGACGGCGACCGTGGGGAGGTGCGCGGGGTAAGGCCGGGACTCGGGCTTCGCAGCGCTGGTGAGAGGATATGTCGGAAACCGCGGGGTCGTCGCCCAGCGCGGTCGCGGGTCGCGGGTTCGAGGCCGGGGTCTCCGCAGCTCAGCTCCAGGTCGCCTTTCCGAGATGGGGGCACATTGCGGGGCGACCTTCCCAGAGTCTCGTTGCCAAGGGCGTCCACGCCCTCCCTAGCCCAGCTGTTTCGGACGGGCCCCTCTCTTTTTCAGCTCTCCTCAGGTGTCTGGAGCTTGGGAGCTCGTGGATGGGGAGGGGAAAGTTTTCAATTTGGAAGCCTCGGGGCCCAGAGGCTGGGGTGGATCGGTCTGGGGAGAGGAGGAAGGTTGGAAGTCAAGACCATGTCTCTGGTTTTTAGATCCGAAGTACTCGTTGGGAATGGCTTAAAGGACATGAGGGGCAGGCAGCTCCAGTCCAGGTCTGAGTATGCATTTTTATGAAATAGTGAAAAAGAAGGGGTGGGATGTAAGAATAAAGAGGGGGCCAGTAACTCAATGATAAATCATTGTCTAGCATGCCCGGGGCCCTGAGTTTGATCCCCAACACCACCAAATGGAAAATATAATTAAGAAATTAAAGGGGTTAGGTGGAATCGCTTTGAAGCTGAGGGTGTGAAGCGGGAGCCACAGCTAGCAAGGCTGTAAGGCTCCAGGACAGGTGCGTGTGGCAGACACCCTTCCAGAGGTGGGCTGTCAGTTCTCCGCGTTGCTCAGGCTGTATTTGCCTGACTGAGTTCCACCCTGCTGCAAATGTGCCGGTTGTAAATTACTCAACGGAATACAAATTCCTGTTGTGTCATTTCATGAATCTGGTTTCCCAAAACATCAAGCGTCACCGTTTGTGGAGTGGGTCTTTGAAGAAAGCAGAGGGTTAATAATGTACCGATCATTTTTACCCAAACAGCCCAAGTTGAAGCTGTCTGGACTTTGAGGAGTGATCTTCCTTTTTGCTGACAGAATGATCAGAATCCCATGTAGTAAGGGAGTGTTTAGGGGGAAAAAAGTCTTAATTACAGGCTGCTGGAGCAGCTGCCTGTAAGAATCAGCAGTATTGAAGACTTCCTCGTGAAGTGGTTAATCAAGGTGCCTTCTAGAATTCCAGAGCTTCTCAGATTTTTTTCTTCCCTGTGAAAGAGGCAAAGTGGCTAGGCTGTAGGAAGTTGGCACTCCTCGTGGCATTTGCCAAGTTCAGTTCTCATAGTAAAAGCCAGGGGTAGCACAGTGGCACCGAGTGGGTGTTTTGTTTATGAAAAGAAAGAGCCCAGTTGCAAACCCTCCTACGTGCCAGCTGCCGGTCTGGATGCACTGGGTCCCTGCAGATGCCTTGCCTTTCGCCTATATCACAGCTTGACATAGTAGTTTAGAAAAGTCAAGACAGTGGCAATTTGACATTGGAATCCAGGAAGCTAGCTGAGCTGGCGGTTGCTCTGCGGGATGCTGCAGGGTCTATTGAGTCAACACGTGAAAGATTTGCAGGTAAAAGCAGATACAGTGGAGAAAACTTAGAAGCCAGTGTGTTTCAGCAGTTCATAGAATTCGAGAAGTATAATAAAGGTCAATATTAAAGTATCAAAAAGACTTAAAGCTATCTCTGGACTATTAATACCTCTGGTTATATTAATATACCAGAGAGACACTCTTAAAATTAAAAAAGATGTTACATTCAGTGATACTGCATTCCATGGCCAAAAGTTAAAAAATGGGAAACAGTAACGGCCGTCAGGTAAGATTACTTCAGGGAGACGTTACAAATAAGTGATCAAGACAGTCTGACAGCTGGAGTTGACTCTTCAGGAGCCCGGTGGTGGAGGGAGAGAACTGCGCTCACAAGCTGTCTTCTGACCTCCTTAGGCAAGCAGCAACAAGCTTGTGCACACGCACACAATTTAAAAAAAGTAACCAAGAATAAGCAGTCATTTTATACATTCTGGTCTAAACAATGTAAATACTACTATCCTTATGGATTTTTCTCTTATATTTCCCAGGTTTTTTGAATAAGAACATATGCTTTCAAATTTGAAAAAAAAACTCAGCTTATAAAAGATGTGGATATTTTAAACATACAGCATGATTTAATTCACCTTTCTGGAACATTTAACAACAATGAGATTTATTGATTTTTCTACTGGAATGCCAGACAGTGTGCTATGTGATAGAAAACAGCTTTTTTAACTTTTATTGATTCAGCTTACCAAAAAAAAATCTTTCCTCCTCACATTGTGGAAAAATACTTCTGAATGCTTTCAGCAATCTTAGAGTATTTAACTTCTAACCCAGTGAAAAATCTCTCGCAGTTTTGAAATGTGAGTTATCATATACTTTTTTTTTTTTTTTTTCCGAGACAGGGTTTCTCTGTGTAGTCCTGGCTGTCCTGGAACTCACTCTGTAGATCAGGCTGGCCTTGAACTCAGAAATCCGCCTGCCTCTGCCTCCCAAGTGCTGGGATTACATGCGTGTGCTACCACCGCCCGGCTATCATGTACTTATTGTGTGACCTTGATGGCTTCTGTCTGACTGTTGATCCGTAGAGATTTGAAGTTAATATATAGTTTCTTTTAGTAAGCCCATCTCCATTTTCAAAACTACTGCTTTGCTTAAAATGATTTTGTTTTGTTTTTTGCTAGCCCTTTGATAAAACTGTTTCAGCTGCCAGGCAGTTACAAAGCATAGCATTATTTGGCATATCATTAGAGTATAGGAGAGCCTTTAATCTACATCTGGGACCCCTGCTTCAGCTTTCTTAGGAGATAAAAACAAAAAAAAGCTAAATTTATTCAAATAGTAGTTACAGCAGAGGCCAAAGGTGATTTAAAAGATTTTCTTTATTGTTAGAGTGTTGGTCAGGCAAAAAGGACTTCAGAAATTGTAGTTTTTATAACTGAACTTTTGTCCAGGCTTTATTTGTTCTTTGCAATGCATGATAAGAAAAGGATGGCGCATGAATGGCTGGAAGGCAGTTACAAGGAGGAGCGAGTGGGGGCTCAAGATTACAGGAACACATTGTTCTGTGTAATGTGTGCAGAGTGTAGTTAAGGTGTTTTTCCTTCCTTTGGTGCTTGGTACCGTTCTGATTTTCTAGAACAGTTCTTGAACTAGGCCTCTACTTAGAAACGAACTGGCTAGTTTGGCTCTGTGCCATCACCAGATGCATGTTTCTGAATGTGCCACTGGGACAGATGAGATGCTGAGTCTGTGTGGATGCAGGTACAGTTTGTGCTCAGGTGTTCTGAAGTTCAGGGTACTCAATGCATACAGAGTAAAGCTAGGTTGAGAGCCCAACTTTCACCTGTCAGACAAGTGCTAAGCCTGAAGTTTGAAAACAGAGTGTTGGTAAGGCCTTTTCAGCCTTTGCTGGCGGCAGTGCAAATTAGTCACAGCTCTCAAAAAGCGTAAATGTACCCTGGGCTCTGTTGGCTCAGATCTGTTTCTTGCCCTTGCCCTGGGGAGGGACTGTGTTCTGCAGATGTATCTCCCAGACTCTCCTGAGTGGTCTTGCCTGGCTGGGTCTAGCCAATGGGAGCTATTGGGTAGTTTGGAAGCTGAAAGAAAGGAGAAACCAGGTTCTCTTGTAAATGTTCTTGCCCTAGGCCATGTCTCTGCAGCTGCTCTTCCTTTATTTAGGCTCCTGCTCCTGCCACAAGCTCTCTGCTTTTCCAGCTCCTGTCCTTCCTAACCTCAGAGCTCTGGAAATGCCTTCTGCCTTCAGCCTCCCAGCAGAAGGGAATGCTTGTGACTCCTCCTGGTCTCTGGGTTGTCTTACAGTTTCCTGTTTTTCTGTCACATGCATAACCAATTCCCTAGGCCAGTTTTCCTCTACTTTAGCCTTAAAGAGATGGCTGTTTACCCTGTTTAGACCCTGATATCTATGGGAAACACAGGGCAATATTTTTTAAAATCATACTGTAAGTCGTCAGACCCAACAGTGCAGTTCTAGGAATTTAACATGGGAATACATTTATATTTGCATGAGGCAATAAAAGCAAACGATTATTCATTGCCTTGAATGTCTATCAACAGAAGACTTGGGAGAATAAACTCTTAATATAGGGGATGGTGACTGAAGTTGAGGAACGAGGCAACTGAGTTGATACAGACACACCTCAATAATGGTTTGCTAAATTACAGAAGCAAAGTAGGAAAATGCATTGTGTGCTAGTTTCTGTTTTTTAAGGAAATGCTTGTAAACGAATGAACATTTTCTGGAAGGTTAAGCAAGGAACTAGAAACAATGATCACCTGTTCAGACAGGTTGATAAATTTAAACAGGGAAGAAATGTTTCATTCTCTGCCTTTTTATTTCTTGAAATTGGATAAAGTTGAAATAAATCTGTCCTCACCTTGCTAAAATTAGAAAACAAGTTCCTGGGAAAATACTATTCCATGTTAGTCAGGACCTCCCCCTCCTTTTTTTGTGTTGGGCACAGCGGGTGCCTCTAATCCCTGTGGTTGAAGGCTGAGGCAGGGGGCTTGCAAAGAGTTTAAGTCCAGCTTGAGCTACAGAGTGGATCCTAAGGACAGTGTGGGTTACAGAATAAATCCTTCTCAAAACAAAACAAACAAATCATCTCTACAAAGTCAGGACTGGTCAGGCACACCTTTAATCCCAATTCAGAAGGCAGAGGCTGGTAGATTTCTGAGTTTGAGGTCAGTTTGTACATAGTGAGTTCCAGGTCAGTCAGGACTGTGTAGAGAGACCTAGTCTCAAAATCAAAACAAAATATCCCCAGGACAAAACTCCCAAAACAAACAAAAAATAAAATACACACCTCTCCCCTACAAGAGAAAGGAAGACGTCCCCTTTTACAAAAATATTTACATCTCAAAACTTCCTTTTTTGAGGTAATTT